GCACAAACTTCAGTCAATTCAATTCCAATGCGCCAAACCGACTGATGATGGTTCCACACTTCAAAAGTGCAAAAAGCTCTCCTTGAATTTAACGGTTCTTTTACTTTTTCCCACAAACCTATTCCACCTACCATTTTAAGCGCGAAAGAGTTTTGAATGCAGGAAAATGCATGTTGACATTATCTCTATCAAATGATACATCCTAGTGTTATGTGCCACGCTTAATCACCGGATTATTCCGTGTATTCTAAATTCGCTTGCACGCATCTCCTTATCGGAACGACATTTGAACCTAAGCCAAATAATTCATTTTTCTATCTAAATGGCATTCGAACTCAAGCCTAATAATTCAATTCTAAATTGAACCTTTTGACCTAAGAGTCTCACATATTTCGACAACCAAATCAATTAAACTTATCCTTTTTCCACGGCTGAGCGCTATCATGAAGTGATAAGCGCTTCCCGAAATGATAATCCTTTTTACTTGCCGCACTAAATTGACTATCTTATTTTTTCTTTCAAGATAAGTAATTGATTTAGTAATGTGGACCAACACCATTCCTAGACACAAGATAACCTTTTGGCCTCACGCCCCAAAAAGGATGATTCTCGAAACCCGAAAACGTCATTAAAGTTTGATATAAAAAGACCGTCTGTTTTGTCCCCAAATGAGACACTCTACAAATTTCCGTCGAGACACTATACCAGTTCGCATCGCGATCGTGTTCTTTATCAAAAACTCTTCTAAGTCCTAAGTTACACAACAGTCTCTTCCTCCACTTGTAATATTTAATAAATAATAAGTGATTTTAATAAATTAATAACATTGTATTAAGTATTTTATTTTAAATAAAATAAAACAAACGTGTTGACGAACTAAACCGTTCGGGTTCCCAACACGAGGCAGCCTATTTACCTTTGTTCTTTGCTTGCAATACCTATATGCTGAACACTATAATTAATTTGAAGCTTTTCTGCGTCAAAGGACATCAAACTAACTGAAAAAATTACAGTCTATAAAAATAGTTCAGGATGCTACCTCTGGAACATTCATTTTTTACATACAAAGTCAAAGCTCTTGAACTTAACGCAATCAAGAATAGCGTGAACTTTAATAAACCTGCACTAATTGCAGCTGTTGAATTATCTGTATGGGATACTGATAAGTAGCCAAAACCCAGCGCAACTCATCAAGATTTATATGTTTCAACTTCTTAGACAGTGTTATTTTTGACCAAAGGTTCGATGGCCGAAAACGGTAGCCGTTTTTCAAGTTTTAAAGGCGTCGCAATAACGCAATCGTTCATTTTCAACAATTTATGATCAGCAGTTAAGTCTTGGATCTCGTTTTGCATTTCCTTTCGGGGGAACTTCTGCCGGGCGGACGGCTACAGTTGGGCAGGTGTAAAGTTCAGATTTGACCTTTATGCGATAAGATGATGATGCAATTATAGATAGCTAGATTACACGGGGTTTCCTAATTTATTTACGTTTTTAGCGTTTAAATTTGCTAATGACCAGTTAGCTGTTATATTTGCTGACAACCAGAAATTAACTTATTTAAATTTACGTCTTAATTTAGATTAGAGTGTAGCTTCTTAAAGAAACGATCCATTTCTATATTTAAAAAAATGTAAAGTGTTTCTACCAAATGTAGGTATTATATTTACTTTTGACTCTCGCTGGTAACGGATTTTGATTGCGTATTTGTGAGGCAAATTTCAATTCAAAACGATAGAAAAATGTGAAAATTATAGTCGCCTTATAAATATTCTATATTATGTATACATATTTGAGCTTGAACATACAACAGCTCCAAGCCTAACGTTCATAGCATGGTCGGTAAAAATGCAGTTTTCCAGTAACTTGTCATGTGAATTATAATCTCCTGTCGAGTTTGAAGTACACGTTCTATAATACAACGTTTTGTGGGATTGCCTGCATAAAATATATCTATAATTAATTATTGAGAATTTCTTCGCTTTTCAATTTGTGTCATGTAGTCAGTTAGTTGCAGTTAATTAGACATCAAATTACATTCTGTAATTAGCCAAAACATCACACGTCAATTAGATGTTTTATGATTGTTGCATGATTTATAGGAAGGTGTAACGTTAACGTAAGCCAATTGACTTAAAATTTGTTAGCAATTCTACTAATATTTTCACCTATGGAAACGATTTTCAAGTTGAGTTGACTCTTAAAGCTTTAGCAACTAGCAATTACATCTAATGGTTTATTATTCTCCATTGGTTCGAACAGAATTAGCGGCTGTTATCTGTTGAGCAAAATTAGAGTGCAATTGGAATTTGGAGAGTAACAGAAAAGGAGTAATTTACGGCAAATATCTATAAGAACTTGCTTTTAAATATATTTTTCATAAAAAAATATCAAATTTGCCATGGTTGGAAAAGCTAAGCTTTTTAAAATTGGAACTTCCCATTTTTCTCAGAAAAGCGTGTTTAGTTAAAAAAAAAGTATCTACCACTTTATATTAACTAGCAATACTTGAAGTGAATAACTTTCATTACATACATTACACTTTATTAAATAAATAAATTAATAATAAATATAATATCTTCTTCTTCTTCGTGTAAAAGGACAAAGTCCTGTCAATTCTGTCATCAGCCCTCCTGTGATCCTGATGTCCAGCTTTCATACCAACGTTTTGGGGGCCTGCCAGCTGGGTGTTTTGTTTCTGGTTTTTGTGTTTTGGCCCACTTTGCAATTCCGTCTGGACTCATTTGTTCTATGTGGTCTCTCCAACACCGGCGTCTCTCTCTCACCCATCTGACAACGTCCTGCACTCCCAGTTCTCTTCTGGTGTTCTCGTTGCGTATCCTATCATGCAATGTGATCCCCTTTATTGTTCTTAGGATTTTTATCTCTGCTGTTCGCATTTTCCTTTTGGTAACATACGTTTCAGCTCTTGTCTCGGCGGCATAGGTCATTATCGGTCTGACGCAGGTCTTATAAATTCGTGTCTTGCTCTCTGTGGTCATATATTTGTTCTTCCAAATTATATCTCGCAAACATCCTGACACTCTTACCGCTTTTCTGATCTGGTTTTCCGTCTCATTCACTGTACCTCTGCTGCTCGATACCTGTACCCCCAGATAGTTGAAATTCATTAGCTGCTGTATAATACGCTCACTCACCACCAACTTACATCGGATCGGACCCTTGGATATTACCATAGATTGTGTTTTTCGATCGGAATTTGCATATTAAGCTTCTCTGCTGTTAGGTTGAATCTGTAAAGATGGCACTGGAGGTCATCATCGCTCTCTGTCGTCAAGACAGCATCGTCTGCGTAACAGAGTATTCTCAGGCGGTGGTTGTTCATCTTGAATCCTGCATTGACTTGGTTCACACTTTCAATTATTTGGTCCATTATGATGTTAAAAATGTCTTATGCCGGATGAGACTTTAAGTTCTCTTATTAGACCACATTCTGTTCTTATCATTTATTTATTTTATTTTTTATTTATTTCTTTATTTCAAATTACATTCTGATACATGCACATGTATAAAGAATACAAAATGAAATGGCGTTAAAAAACAATTGACAAAGGACATATTATACTAAAAGGTACTGTTGTTACATATTTAAATAGTCTCTAATACTATAGGGCTCTAACTTAATTAACATCTGTTTTAATTTATTCTTAAACAATTTTTTAACTCTTACTTTTTTAACGTTGTTTTCTAGTTTATTAAAGAATTTCATACCCATATAGTACGGAGTCTTTTCAGACAGTGTTAGTCTGTGTGTTGGATACAAAATGTTTCCCGTGCGGGTGCTATGATCCTGGTTAACGTTGTTATCGTGTAAATATATACTCTTAAAAACACATAATATTGCCTCAAAAATGTACAGACCGTACACGGTTAAAACACCCTTTGATTTAAAAACCCCTTGACAAGACTGCAAAGGAGACATTCCGTAGATAGTCCTTAGTATACGTTTTTGTACTGTAAATATATTTCGAGTCCTCGAGCTACTCGCCCAAAAAATTATCGGTATTGTTATGCTAGTTCTCCATTCATTGGATATTACTCCGCTTTGTTTAATTTTTCCGAATAACTTTACTAATTCTTTTCCGATTTTTGGACTTCCGTACTTAAGTAATTCATTTCGAATGTTGTCAGTGCCTGGAGATTTTTGGTTCTTTAATCTCTGTATGGCCGTTTGTACTTCTCCCACTGTACTTTTCTCTTGTTCGCCTGTAGATAATGGATTTTCGATTTCTGTATCATCGCTGTTTTTGCTATTGTTATCATATAGGTTTTCAAAGTACGTTGCCTATGTTTCTTGGTCTACTGCATTTATTACTACTTTAATTTTTTTAAAATTAAGGTACACATTTTTATTACTCCGGTTATTGAGCGCGACAATTGTCGAGTTTCGGTTTTTATTGTGTTTTGTAAAAAAATTAAGTTTCAAGTTAATTAATAAATGAAATGGTACTAAAAAAATAAGGTAGTCCTCATCAAGGGCCCTACAAGTGATTTAGCGAGCGAGGAAGATATATTCGCATACAATTATCAATTCTACTTAACCAAACATTTATTGTGGTATAGAGAAGCTCAATAGATCAAAACAATACATTCAAACCCCGCATATGGCGTTCCTCTTACCGTGTATTTAGTATGCGTTTGAACTAATATCTCTTGAAATGTGATAAAAAAAATTTGCTATTGAAATAGTTACTAAATTCTTCCTTCAAATATGTATCAGTTTCGTTGCATTACAATGAGCAACTTTTAGGGTGAATTTTAATCAGTTACCTCAGTCACTCCTTTCACAGGTTTTAAAACATAATTCAAACATCGACTTGGCAAACACATTGACTGATAAAGTAAATATATTTTTTCAATTAATAAATTATTTTTTTTAGAAGAGCTACATTTTGTGTGAATAGCAGCCATCAAGTATCTATTCAAACGTTCTAAAATGATAGACAAGTCTGAGAAGAATGTATATTGTCAATACTTACCGCGAATGATCCAAGTCCCTTTTGTTTCCTAATAATAGACAGGTGTAGTAGGATGGTAGCTTTAACTTAACTAGTTGGCCTAGCACTTCTTGAGCTTCATGAAAGCTGTGTTTATCCACAACTGAGTAGACTATAACAAATGCTTCGCCCCATCTCAAATGTTCATAGAGACATCCATTTTTCTGCAACAATTAAACAAGCCTTAAGCGACTGATTGATTACCATTAGTATATAGGGCACATCTAGTAAGTTTAAAATATATCTAGGAACAACAACAGTAAATATTCATAATACATTTTTAGGAGGTGTGTTATATCGTGCGACTTAATTCTACCTCGGGACAAAGCTCCTAAGCGCTCTATCTGTAAAAAGTAGGGCTAAACGTTTCCCATGTACGTCTAAAGGCCGGGACACATCTATCCGATCCGACTCCGATCCGATCAAAGAACCTTCCGTCGATGACCAAATAATCGGATCGGTGCGTGATCGGAAAGGGAAAGCCACACCTGTCATACCCGTTCAATTTCCGTTCCGATTTTTGGACGAGTGCAAATCCCAGATTATCAAACCATTCCTAAGACTAAGTCCAAATGTATTAATTGGCTCTACCGTTTTTCATATAGACACTCGGATGGTTTACTTTGAATATCGAAAACTGAAAGCCG